AGTATGAAGATCCTTCCACCCCGGTCTCCCACCTTGTCCTCTAATGATGTTGTAATGACCAACAGCCTACTGAACCTGTCAGGACTGGAGCAGCGTAGGCAACCTCAGCCTTAGACTAGCCGGGGGCCATCTATTACCATTCTAATGTGATTCTTCCATCCCCGGTGTTGTGGAGGATCGTGCAGCCTGAGCTAATGTTGCTGCATGAAGAAGACAAACGGTTGCACTTCCCCATATTAGAGGCATGGGTTATCTTGTTAAGAGCCATGGTGTGAGTGTCCATTGATGGGCTATTTTGTTAGCGGCTAAGCGGCTAGCCTCAGTGTGTGTGTGCATTGATGGCAGGGTTTAGATTGCATCCCAGGATTAACCCGGGCTAAATGGGATTAATGAGATAGCAGCCCTTTGTTCCATGGGGCTGATGGCTGCCGCAGGGCCAGCTAGCCTGGGGAAAGGGTACACAGTGGAGTGGCTAGGCTACTATAGGAATATATCACAGTAGCTACATCAACTGTCCAGACAGGAATTTTACCAATATCACCTACTTCTGATTACCTCTCTATTTGTTATACTGTAGCTAACACATACAGTCTGCTTTGAAAGGATTCTCCTAGTCTGATCCTCTGAGGCAGTTAGTTTATTCTAATGTCAATGAGACAAGGCAGTGTATTTCAGGGCTATGTATTTTCTTAACCAGCAAAGTTTATTTATATATAACAACAGTAAAAAGTGAATTCCTGGCTTGCAAAATAGGTGTGCTTCATATTTACAATAGGTACACAATAATATATTATCATAACAAAACCAAAGCAAATAAAAAAACGAGAACAACTTTAAATACTTTAAACTTTCTTAGAATTTTCACAGCACTTTTATAAAACAACAAGAACAGCCATTATTATTATTATTATTATTATTATTATCATTATCATTATCGTCATTGTATTTACCAAATTACAGAACTCCAGTGTCTACAAAGGGTTGTCTACATTGTGTTGTGTTTAAAATGGAAGAAGGTTATTCATTTCATATTCCGTGATATTTTTGCCTTGAGAATAACAGTTGACTTTTCGATTCCCCAGACTGATGACATGAGAAAATAAAAAAGGTGAATTATTATCTTGAATTTCTGTAAGTAATAAAACATGCCAGTAAACCACTACACCACAATGTAAGCCAAGAGTAGAAAAGTGCACAACATACTGTATCTAGGTTCCATCTCTTCTGTAGTGGAAATTAAGTTGCCATTTAATAATCTTCAACGTGTATCAACTGCAAAATGTCTCAGAGACAACTAACTGGCTGTGAAATTAAATTCTGAGCTGCAGAATAGTAAACAAAACATAATGATAAAAACGTTCATTTTGCATTGAATGTCATCATCATCTCCAGAGTGTACAGTATGAAATCAATCTGTTAAAATGAATTAAAATCTCTTTCACAAAACGGAAGGTGCAGACAGCTGTGAGTTAAGACTAATAATAAGATATAATAATAATAATAATAATAATAATAATAAGATGTGGAAACTTATTTTCTATTGACTAGTAATGTAATGGTGTTATGACATGCTGGCCAGAAGACAATGTTGGATTTAGATTTTTAAGAACTGTAATGGAATAATCAGTGGATGGCAGTTTATGAAATAAAAGACAAATCATAAATGTTCCCTCAAGAGAAAAACTAACTTTGTTTCAGTCAAACTATGCCCCTCTAAGAGGCCTCCCGAGTGGCGCAGCGGTCTAAGGCACTGCATCGCAGTGCTAGAGGCGTCATTACAGATCCGGGTTTGATCCTGGTCTGTGTCACAGCCGGCCGCAACCGGGGGGTTTGGCCGGCCGGGATGTCCTTGTCCCATCGCGCTCTAGCGACTCCTTGTGGCGGCCGGGTGCATGCACGCTGAGATCGGTCGCCAGCTGTACGGTGTTTCCTCAGACACATTGGTGCAGCTGGCTTCCGGGTTAAGTGAGCAGTGTGTCAAGAAGCAGTGCGGCTTGGCGGTCGTGTTTCAGAGGACGCATGGCTCTCGAACTTCACCTGTCCCAAGTCCATACGGGAGTTGCAGCGATAGGACAAGACTGTATCACAAAAAATATATATATATATATATATATGCCCCTCTTTCATTTAACCATTCCTATTAAGCCAAATGGAGAATATAGTGGAACACATAGTAGAGGAGGTTTCATCACACCAGAACACAGACAAGCAATATGAGGCATGAGAGGGGCATGGTTCTCTTGGATGAGATGAAGAGAATAGAAGGGAGGACACCATTGTTCAACGGTGGAAGCTTCATATTTGTGTTTGAGCAGGATTTAGAGTGTACCTATAGATATTTGTGTTGGGCAGGAGCGGTTACTGCGTAGCAGGGGACCAACAGCCCCCGCCGGCAGGAAACATTAATACCATGTCAATCATATGATCGCCATGCATTTCTCTTTGTCTGTTTTTGATGTTTTTTTTCATCTTCCGATCAGACTCTGCACACGACTACACTCAGATCAAAGCACTGCTTCAAAGCAGGGAGCAGGAAACTACAGCTAAAGGGGTTTCTCTCTCTCATTTCTGACTGAGCTCTACTCTTCAAACAGCTCTGGCGAGACTGCTGAAGCACCGCCAGGCCATACCCTCTTCACCTTTCCTATCCTTCTCAAACAGGTCTTTACACACCGTGGCAGGACAGGTACCTTATCAAAAGGACAGTGTCAAATTCAACAAAATGGTGCCAACAGAGGCGGTGGATTAGTGTTCAACGTAAAGAAGAATCAGGAGCACTCAGTGCTTTGATGGGTGATTGGTTAGTTTGGTGTTCTAAGGCCACAGAGAAAACAAGCACCTTTCATTCATTAACATTGGTGTTATGCTCTCTCCCTCCATAAATAATGTCATTATACTGTACACCTTTAATACTACCTAGTTTCAAGTACTTGATGTAAACAATTAGTCAACAAAGAAGTCTGGAGAAAACAGAATGGTGGTGGTCACCAATCCAGCAGAGAGAATCTACAGTATGTTGTCATCCAGCTAGGATGAGTACATGAAGGTTCCCTCTATCTATCATTTCATAAATGGGTTCAGTTTGATACAGGACAATCCAATCTTACCAAAGATCTACCTGGTACTGTAACACACATTATCTTTGACGTTTATATCCTCTTTTGACCATGCTAGCGGTTCAGATATTTTCTTCTTGCCAAAAACAAAAAAAGGACAACTTTTGACAAGTAACTATATATTTTACAGAACTGTCTCTCTCCTGAGCCTGCTATTGTCGTGCTTTCATACCTGCTGCCTGTTCACAAGCTTCCAGTTACATGAGCACCTCTCTAGAGGCTCTCTACTTGGCTGGCCCCCTCTGTAAAGCATTAACCGATTTTGACACGTCAGTGAATCATTTAAAACGACGGGATCTTTTGGCACTACACAGGCTTCTTATTCTCTTTTGGAAAGACGTTGTTGGTACATAGTTGGGTAGGAAACTAAGTTCGCTAGCATTTAGCCGCTGGCCATCTCCAGCTAGCCTGATCCATTGGCATTTAAAAACAAACAAAGATGGACCTTGAAAACACTTCTTCTGACATGTGATACGATGCATGCAAGTTTTACACACACATTTGATCAGATCCCCAAAAGTGATACAAACATCGGTTATATAATGGAGTGTTTTCACTACTGCCGCCAGCTTCAGTCCCCAGCTTAGCAGGTCTCTAGAATCTAGTCTCCAGTATATTATGGTATGTGTACGTTAAGAGCAGCGTAGCCACGGCAACTACGGCTACAATACAGACTGTATAGCACACACCCTCTTATGGTAGAGATAGAGGATTTGGTAGCAGGGTAAATAATGGTGAGAGGGGTAAAGGGACTTGGATGGATGTTCAGTTGGTCATCTATCTTGCCATTAAAGTTCAGTTCAACTAACTTCTTTTTGTTTAAAAAACAAACTCAAATGAAAAAGAAAAACAACCATCAGCATTTGTATATTCACAGTACATACAGATGGCGTTACTGCAGAGGAGAGTCTTACAGAAACCAGTATGGTGCTGGTTGTTGTTGTCCTTATAACCTAAACCCTCTGTGGACCTGTGGATCTCCTCTTATCACACAGGGTACATGGGTTTGGGGTCGATAAGCATGCTGGTTGAACTTTGACCCCTTCAGAGGAGGTCCGTTCTGAGGTCCGTTCGCTCTCGTACGATGAGGATGCGTTTCGTGGGTTCGTGGGCTGATGGGTTACAGTCAGAGCTGGGTTCTGTCCACTTTGTCTGGAGTATCATGTCGATAATTAATGGTAATACTGTCTGAGGAGAACAGAGAGCAGGAGAAGACATGACATAGAACCATGTCTTTCTGATGGCCACGGCACCCTATAAGACCTGTTATAATACAACCTATGCCTTTGTACAGTACAACAATGTCCATATATGTAACAAGAGGAAGATGTTTCCACTGCAACTGATAAGATCAAAATGTACACATACAAAAATAAAGCATATATATTTGGAAGCAAAACTCAACAACAATATCTCTGGAATCCATCATGACAAGTCTTTATCGCTCTAGCTATCGCTTTTTCTTTCACTGTCTCTAATATGAATTTTCAGCAGACTATAACATCTCCCCTCTGTTCGTTCCTTCTCTCAACATCTCTCTCCTTCAGGGCTATACACACAACACTGCCCGTCAAACCCAAAATAATATAAGCTGGAAAGAAAGATGCCATGTAGCCTTTATGGAGGTCTGTGGTCGTCCCACCTTTTATCATCATCCCCACCCATGTCTCCAGAGCCTATGGAGTCTTTTAGTGAGTTGGTGGCAGTATGGCATAGGAGGAACATTTGATTAAAATAACAAAACTCTTTATTTCTGGATTTAAAAGGTCCCAGGTCAGTGGTGGTTGGTTGTCCCCCCCACGGTGAGTATCGGGACTGTTGGTTGGGTGGCTGTGGCTGATAGACATCCCGGGCCGGTCCAGTCGTCCAATCCCGTGGTCTGTCTCAGCTCTCCAGGGACATGGCTGAGATGAGCTGCTCCACCTTGTAGGCCAGACGCTGTTTCTTAGCCTGCTCGTCCTGCTCTAGGGCCATGGTGATCTGGGAGGGGGGAAGACAGGACAACAACTTGCTTTAGTGTCACTCCTAACACAGTCAAACCAGGAAGTCAACCTACTGTGAACCCAGGCCAATAATATGCTTCAGTTTCATACTCA